ATAGATAGATAGATAGATAGATAGATAGATAGATAGATAGATAGATAAATGAATAAATAGATGAGTGAATGAATGAATAAATAAATAAGCCAACAAACAAGCAAGCAAATAAATAAATAAATTTATTTTAAAAAAGAATAGAATTGAGCTAATAAACTGAAAAAAGACACTTAATTCAAAAGCCTTAATTGTTGGCTTGGTGTGGGGGCACACACCTTTATTCCCTGCATGGGAGGCAGAGGCAGGAGGATCTCTGAGTTGAGGCCAGCCTGGTCTACAGAGCAAGTCCACAACAGCCAGAGCAACACAGAGAAGCCTTGTGGGGAAAACAAAACAAACAAACAAATGCCTTAATTGTTTTTACTTTAATACAAGGCAGCCTGCTACCTTCGTTTCCATTTCCTGTACTTGCTGGTTTCTTTATGTCTGTCCTGACAGTCTAAAGCAAGACAAGATGATACTGTATGTTAAAATAATACCTTATTTGGGCACTTGTGTGTTGTTTGTTTAAAAGGCATGTGCACGTCTATGTACTTTTTGTTTGTTCTGAGATGGTCTCACTGTGTACCCTTAGCCAACCTGTAACTTGCTATGTAGACCAGAGTGGCCCGGACTGAGATTCCCCTATCTCTGCTATGTGTGGTGTATGCTGTGGTGTGTATGTGTGTGTTGAGGCTGTTGGGCTTGGCGGCAGTTACCTTGCCATCGGAGCTATTTCAGCACTCCTCCCTTCTTGTTGATGCTTTCTAAGAAACAGGGTCTTCTCTCCTGCCTCTACTTTCCAGGTGCTAGGATTATAGGAGTATACAACCATGCCCCCGTATTCTTTGTGTTTCGATACATGATTTCATGATGCTCAAAGCTGCTCTTGAACTTTCACTTGGTTTTATATGGTTTTAAGGTCTAGGGATTAAAACCAGGGTTTGGAAAATGTTAGTCAGTTGTTCTACCACTGGGCTTCATGTCCAGTCCTTGAACCACACAGCATATCCCAGACTTAAAATCATGCCCCACTAGACTTTGCAGAATTTATTTTTGCTTTTTATTTTTGAGGTAACATATCATACTATAGTTTATGCTGTCCTGGAATGGACTAGGTAGCCCCTGCTGGCCTCATACTGTGAATAAGCCTCATGCCTGGGCTTTCCAAGTGCTGGGGTGACAGGCAAGCTGTAAAATTACTCATTTTCCAAATTGTTCACTGTTAGTATATAAAAATACACTTACACTGGGTATAGTGGCGCACGCCTTTAAAACCAGCAAGGAGTAGTGGTGTATGTCTTTAATCCTAGCACTTGGAACCAACTTGGTCTACATAGTAAGTTCTGGATCACCCAGAAAGACATAGTAAGACCTGTCTTTTTTGTTTTTTCAAGACAGGGCTTTTCTGTGTAGTCCTGGGTGTCCTGGAACTTGCTCTGTAGACCAGATCTTGAACTCAGAGATCTGCCTGTCCTGCCTTCCAGGTGCTGGAATTAAAGATGTGGACTACCAGGCTTGGCCTATCTTTTTTCTTTTCTTTTTTAAGACAATAAAAAGGAGAAAATAATACTTACTTATCCAACAGCAGATACTTCAAGGAACTAAAAGTAACCCACCCCCTTTTGCGTCTGAAAAAGGTTCTTATGGAACTGAAGATGGCCTCAAATTTTCTAGGTGGCTAAGGATAATTTGAACTCATGATCCTTCTGATCTTTCCGTATGTTTGTTCTTTCCAGACACGATTTTTTTCTGTATAGCCCTGAAACTCTCCCTGTAGACTAGGCTGGCCTCAGAGATCCTCCTGCCTCTGCCTCCTTCTCCAGGGGTGGGATTGAAAGCATGCACCACCAGGCTCTATTTTTCAAGTGCTGGACTCGCACGTACATGCAACCATTGCCAGTTCAAAATAATTCTATATAAACAATTTTTAACTACCCATGTGATATATCAGTAAGATATTATAGTAAGGTATTATACACCATTTAAGAGTAATAAAATAGGGGGCTGGAGAGATGGCTCGGCAGTTAAGAGCATGAACTGCTCTTCTGTTAAATGGACTGCTCTTCAAGAGGGTCTGGGTTTAATTCCCAGCATTGACATGGCATCTCACAACTGTCTGTAACTCTAAGATCTGACACCCTCATAGAGATATACATGCAAGCAAAACACCAATGCACGTAAACTACAAATAAATAATTTTTAAAAAGGCGTAATGAAATACTGTTACATGCTACAATATGGATGCATCTTGAAAATACTTCGAATAAAAGCATCTGGCTTAAAAGTACCACATTCTTGACTTCCCCCACTCCTCAAGATAGGGTTTCTCTGTGTTAACAGAGCCATCCAACTCAAGAACTCCAGCTGCCTCTGTCTCCCAAGTGCTGGGATTAAAGGCGTGGCCCACCATAATCAGTGAGGACCACACTCTTTTTCTTTTTTTTCCACTGGGGGCGGAGTAGGGAGGGTTTCAAGGCTGGGTTTCTCCGTGTAGCCCTGGCTGTTCTGGAGCTAAAAGAGATCCACCTGCCTCTGCCTCTCCAGTGCTGGGAGTGCCACACTGTCAGGGTGACCATATTCATGATTATTCTGACTTTACATACCATCCACTCTATTGGTAAATATATAAAAAGCATAGTTAAAGCATAGTTATAAGACTTTTCCAGGTGAAACCCAACAAGTTTAGAGATTCAGTACAGTTTACATAGAGAAGCTTAGATAGCCTAGCTGAAACTGGAAGGATTTTTCTAGTACAGATTTTGATTGGCAGGTCTTAGTTTCAGCCACATGTCCTTAATTAACAGACTTCTTCCTTTACTGAAAAGGGTCAAAGTGCTCTGTTCTGTCAATCACTACAGTAATTAATATTTTAGAATAAAAGATACATAAAAAGCAGTTAAGATAATAAAATTACAGGAACTACTTAGGAGTCCCAAGTTTACAAATACATTAGACAGGCAAATCAATTCAAAATAAAGCAAGCTTCCTCTCCTTTGTTGGGCAGTGCCTGTTGAAGTCTGTCTATAGGGTCCACAAACCAAGAAATTAACTAGGCAATTAGCCAGACAGTCCATCTCAAGAGATATTACAAACCCTATCTGACACACCAATCGTATGAAATAATCAATATACAACAATAAAATACACATGTAGTAAGTGTGGTAGTGATGTCTGTATCTTTAGCCCTGAAAAACCTGAGGCAAGAAGATAAGAGTTCAAGGCCAGCCAGGCTTTCTATGAATTCCAAATTCCAGACTAGCCTGGGTTACGTAGCAAGACTCTTTGTCCTAACCCCACCCCCAGAACTGGGTAATTAATTTACTGACATCATGTCTAAAAACAAAAAATAAAAAGAGCGGGGAGCCAGGCAGTGGTGGTACACACTTTTGATCCCAGTGCTTGGGACACAGCGGGAGGTAGATCTCTTGTGAGTTTGAGACATTAGCCTTCTCTACAGAGCAAGTTCCAGGACAGCCAATGCTACACAGAAAAACCCTGTCTCCAAATACCAAGGGACAAAAATAGGGAGAAAGAACGTGAGCTGGGAATACTTATCAGTGGGAGAGCACTTTCCAAACACGCATGAAACCTTTGTTCAAACCACAAAAACTTCAGTTTGATGGTACAGGCCTAAGCCCCAGGCACTCTGGGCTTACCTGAGATTCTCCTATTCAAAGAGTAAGCAGACAGCTCAGCAAGATGGTTCTGTGGGTAAAGAGGACTGCTGCCAAGCCTGAAGGAAGACCTCAGTGGAACCCTAATGGTGGAAGGAGAAAACCTACTTCCATAAGTTGTCCTCTGACCTCTGCACATGTACTGTGGTATGAGCTCATATAAACAAAAAATAAATTTTGGGGAATCAGAGATTGCTCAGCGGTTAAGAACACTTGTTCTTGCAGAAGAATTAGGTTCAGATGTCAGCACCCACTTGATGGCTCACAACCATCTATAACTCTAGTTCCAGGGGATCTGATGAGAACACCAGGCACAAACATGATGCACATACATATATGAAGGCAAAGGCCAAACACTTACATACAAAAGTAATTAATTAAAGTAAATAAACTGGGGGGGGGGACGACAGAGAGATGGTTCAGCAGTTAAGAGCGGACAGAGCCTATTGTTCTATCCCAGCATCCACATCAGATGACTCATCAACACCTGTAACTCCAGCTTAGCTCAGAAGAATCCAGCAACAAATAACTGAGTGTGGCAGTCAGTATACACCCGCCATCCCAACACTCCTGGAGGTAGAGGCAGGAGGATCAGACATACTGAGTTCAAATCTAGCAGACAATATACGAGACTATGTTTTGAACAACTAAAGAAAGCCAGGCACGGTGGCAGAACCTGTAATCCAGCACTCAGGAGGCAGAGGCAATCAAATCTTTTTGAATTCTAGGCCAGCCTGGTCAACAAAGCAAGTTCAGGATAGCCAAAGCTATACAGAGAAACCCTGTTGAAAGAAGAAAGAAAATAAAGAAAAAGAAAGAGAGAGAAAAGGAAGGAAGGAGAGAGAGAGAGAGAGAGAGAGAGAGAGAGAATGAACGAACAAACTTACTGCTCTTGTTGAGAACCAAAATTTGGTTCACACAGCTGTCTGTCACTCCAGTTCCAGATGGTATGAAGCCCTCTGTTGACCTCTGTGAGCACTAGGCATGTACATGTACACAATCATGCAGGCAAAACACCCACACACATTAAACAACAAACAAATACATAAATGGACAGATAACATCACAGTGGCTCACATCTACAATCTCAACAGTTAGGATGTAGAAGCAGAATTCAGGGTCTACCCAGCCTACACAGCTGCTGGTAATAAAAGACAAGCATTTCCCAGCATGCTCCCCACAATTTTTAAAGTCTGGCTAACGGGCCTTATGGAAAAGGAAGTAACAGGAAAGAACTGCTATTAAAGGAAAGAGTCTTAGTCAACTTTTTAAAAAAGATTTCTCTATTGCATACATGTACACCTGCATGCCAGAAGAAAGCATCAGATCGTGTTCTATAGATGGTTGTGAGCCACCACATGGTTTCTAGGATTGAACTCAGAACCTCTGGAAGAGCAGCTGAGCCATCTCTCCAACCCCAAGAACTTCTAATCTAAGGGTTGCTCCTCACTGAGAGAGAGAGGAGGCTGACCACCACTGCCGGGTAAAGGTCAAGCACATAGAGAAGTAGACTTTCCTACTGCTTCCATTCTCCTTTGGTTCTTCTTTCTTTCTTCCTTTCAGTTAGTATCTCATGTATCCTAGGCTGTCCTCAAGCTCTCTATGTAGCTGAGACAGGGCATGCAGCACACTTGGTTTATGTGGTGCTGGGGAATAAAAAATAGGGCTGTAGTTGTTGTGGCATGAAGCTTCAATTACTTCAATTCAATTCAACACTCAGGATGCAGAGGCAGGCGGATCTCTGAGTTTGAGACCAGCCTGGTCTACAGAGTAAGTTAAGTTCTAGGAAAGCCAAGGCTATAAAGATATCCAGTCTCTAAAAGGAAAAAAGAAAAAGAAAAGCCCACATAGGGCTTTGCATGACACTCCATCAACTAAGTTATATTCCTGGCATCTGTTTTTTCAAAAAAGCAAGAATGTAACAGTTAACAATGATGCTGGGAAAGAAAATAGGTTTGCACTAAAAGAGATGTTCCACTACTCTAAAAACAAGGTTAAAAAACTAAGGAATTTTAGAATAGCTAGGCAGGAACAAGGGTCACCTTTGAAGTCAGGGGTCATCAGACCAGTGAGATCTGCCTGCCTCTGCCTCCTAAATGTTGTGACTGAAACTGCTGTGTGCCACCACAACTAGATAAGCTCTATGTTTGATTCCCTAGCCCCGCTGGGCAGTAGTGGCACATGCCTTTAGTCCCAACACTTGGGAGGCAGGGGCAGGCAGATCCCTGTGAGTTTGAGGCCAGCCTGGTACAATGCAGACGGAAGATTCAGACGTAAAATAAATATATACATAAGAATTTTGAGATAAACTGGGATTGGTGGTGCATACCCTTTATTTCAGCACTCAGGAGGCAGAGGCAGAAGGATCTCTGTGAGGTTAAGGTCAACTTGGTCTACAGAGTTCTAGGACAGCCAGGGCTACATAGAGGGACCTTGTGTCCAAAAATTATACATATACATACATATATATACACACACACACACACCTACCTATAAATATAGATACAGATATATAGCCAGCTAGCCCAGGTTAGCGTGGAACTCAAGATCTTCCTATCTCAGTCTTGCGATTACTGGTGTTACATGTGTGCATGTTAGACATAGTATTAATTAATTTTTTGGTTTTTAACTTTTGCAAAGGATACTGTCAAATGAAGTTAGACACACTTCAAATTTACTGTTACTGCCCTTCTTTTCTGAGTCTTAAAGTTTCATTGCTGAAACAGGAAATTCTTTCTTCCCAAGCAAGACTTCAAAGCAGAAACTATGTGTCAATCACTTTATTAGATTTTCTGCAGCCCTTACAGTCATGTAAAAACAAAAAGTCTGAATTTATCACCTCAGTTATGGCAAAGCCTTTAGAAGACTCTACCTTTAGAATACTCTAAAGATCAGGCTTCTACCATAATGAAATTCATTATGGAAGATAAAAAAAGCACTTGTTATGAACAGCTAAACATTGAAGGCTACAAATACTTTTTTATAAGTTAAAAGAAAATCACAGCTACTCAAATAGGGTATTTTTCTTAAAAGGAAAACTTCTCAGACAAACCTTTTTTTCCCTATAGCATTGTAGGAAGCACTCCTACACAAAAAAGAAAAAGCCCGGAAATCATATTACTGTTCCTATCTTGTCAGAATCATGATAATTTGCTGTACTTAAAGGAAGATGTAATCTTACGCATTGTAATAAAAATTCTAGTCCTAAATCTGGACTAGGTCAGCTAACACACTAAGGAAGAGGTCCAGGCTGACTCTGCTCTGCTCCATCATCACCCTCCCATTCCTTTTACGTGACCAAACATTTCATTTAGATTTCAAATTCTGAGATGTCTTCCACAACATCTACCACATGACCACTTGACAAAACCAAGCAACTTTCGTATAGATCAGCCACACTAAGATTTTACTAGAAACTGATTTTAGTTACAAAAATATAGCTGACTAGCATATCAGTTGTCTGCAACAATGATTAATCAGATGCACTCACTGAGAGTAAATCCTACTTTCTCACTTACTCCGGTGCTTTCAGTATCAGTTTCCTTTATTTGTCAGATGATGGTAATAGAAATATTATAAAAATGGTCAGTGAGATGATTCACGAAAAGAAAGGCTGGCCTTGACCTACTGATTCTCCCACCTCCTGGCATATGCCACACCTGGCTCTCCTACATCCTGCATTACTAGGTGGATAATTCTGATGACTTTTAGGACTAAGCAGGTCATAAATCTTTCATTCGTTTGAGACAGGGTTTCTCTGTGTAATTACCCTGGCTGTCCGTCCTCAAATTCAGAGATTAGCCTGTCTCTGTCTCCTGAGTTCTGTGATTAATGTTCTAACTCGCAGCATATCTACCTTGTCAATAATTTTTAGCATATTTTTGACATATCAGAAGCTAACAAAGACATCTTGGGTGGTGCTACCAGTTAATAATGAATGCATTAAACGCTTATTAGCCAAACATTAATTATCAGGATACACAAAACAGTCCTCCAGCCAAGAAAGCATAAGTGGAAATAATTCATCTGAATTATTCTGCCTCTGCAGGATCACAATGTTTATAATATTTTGAAAGATAATGAATAAATTTCCATTCAGATAAAGTAACCATAGCTTTAAAAGTGACTAATTCAGCGTACTTAAGATAATTATAATTTTACCTCATCCATCTTCAAAAGGCTAATTATGCAGAAGAAACAGTGATGATTATAGCAAGCTTTCTACCATTTCTAGACACTCGGACACCAAACAAAATGCAAAACAATCTCATTTGTGAAGGGCTCAATGATATAAATACTTCTTTCAAACATGGGTTTTATTAAGTGTTAAGTTCTTTTAAAAAATTATTAATTTTTATTTTATGCATATGGATGTTTCGCCTGAAAATATGTCTATATAGCATTTTGCCATGTCTGGTACCCACAGAGACCAGAAGATGGCATTGGGACCTTGGAACAGAGTTACAGAAGCTTATGAGGCCCCCGTGGGCACTAGGAACTGGATTTGCTTCCTCTAAAACAGCAGTTCTCAACCTGTGGGTCATGACCCCTTGCAGGAAAAGAGGGGGGAGTCAAAAGGCCCTCTCACAGAGGTCACAGACCAAATATCCCACATATAAGATATTTATATTACAATTCATAACAGCAACACAATTATAGTTATAAGGTAACAACAAAAGTAACTTTATTGCTAGGGATCACTACAACATGAGTAACTGTATTACATGTTTCCAGTATCAAGAGAGTTGAGAAGCACTGCTCTAGAAGAACAGCAAGTACTCTTAGCAGCAAAACCATCTCTCCATCCTCCAGCCATGAACAAAGTTTTAGAAGCAAACAATCTTTATGTAGTCAAACTGTGATACAACTGATTTTTAAAAATTTATTTATGGGCCAGTGAAATATACAAAAATAAATTATGTAAAGAAATGTTTATTTTGCTGGCTGTAGTTTTTAATCTGAGCACTTGGGAGGCAGAGGTAGATCTTTGAGAGTTTGACGCCATCCTGGACCACACACTAAGAACCTGTCTCAAAAAAAAAAATTATGTATGTACGTATGTATGTACGTATTTTTTCATGGATGAAGGTGCTCATGGAGGATAGAGATGAACCTCAGCTGATATTCCTCAGATACTGACAACTTAGTTTTTGAAATAGGATCTCTCATTGAGTCCTGGAGCTCTTCCATTTGGTGTCTACAGGCCAGTCAGTGAAGCTCCATGGAAAGCTCCAATCAGGCAGGACCAAATGTGGTAGCATACACTTTTAACCCCAGCACCCAGGACACAGGCAGGCAGTTCTTTGTAAATTTGAAGACAGCCTGCGAGTGAGCTCCAGGTCAGCCAGGGACACAGAGTGAGACCCTGTCTTTAAAAAAGAAAGAGTGCAGGGCGTGGTGGTTCACGCCTTTAATCCCAGCAGTCAGGAGGCAGAGTCAAGTGGATCTCAGAATTCAAGGCCAGCCTGGTCTACATAGCAGTTTCCAGGACAGCCAAAAAGACTGTTACAGAGACACCCCATCTCAAAAAACAAGCAAAAAGAAAGAAAATGGGGCTAGCAAGACGGGAAGGAACGAACTGACTTCCACAGCTGTCCTCTAACCTCCACACATGTGTACACACACGTGTATACACACGCACAAAGCAATAAAAAAATTTAAACGCCTTCAAGACTGGAGGACAAGAGTCACTAATTATTAATAGCAATCACATTCCCACAGATTTTGTATTAATAATAATCTCTCAATATGAAATGAAAAATTAAATGCTGGAAGAAATACTTATTTACATACCTTACAAAAATGCTGAAAACACACAGCTTCTGACAGTGCTTGTACAAAGTACCTGGAACTTCTCAAATGCAAGGCTATAAAAAAAGGAAATGAAAGAAAAAGTAAGTTAATTTTATAAGGAAAAAAAACCAAACAAGGTAAATATCAATCCAGACAGGAAAATGTGCAGCACTACTTAACTGCACTTGAAGAACTCTTCAATGATACCCTTAACCTTAAATTCCTTGCCATAGTACTTTAACCGCTACACGCAACTACAACCCATCACACTTTATGGCAGTGGTTCTCAACCTTCCAAAGGCTTCCACCCCTTAATACAGTTCCTCACACTGTGGTGACTCCCAACCATAAAATTACTTTCACTGCTACTTCGTGACTATTGTTTTGCTATTGTCATGAATCACAATGTAAATGTTTTTGGAGATAGAGGTCAGTCAAGAGTGGCAACACAGGCGGGCCTGTGTTTGGGGCCCACACATCGGCCCCCAATCAATTTTGCAGAGGTCCATCAATTTCACTGTTTTGCTTTTCTGTCACTGTTGTTACCAAGCTCAATTGAGTTGATCTGGTGCTCAACACCAAACCACTTCCACCAACTTGACACACACACAGACTAATCACAATTAGATGCAAGCACAACAACAATGGCCTTGGTAGCTTCATGAATCCCACCTGTTACACTATCTTGATGAGGGTGGTCTTTGGTACCCCATGTAAAGCAGTATTAAGGTCATTACACCTCTAGCACTACCTTGGCTGTGGTGATGGGATGTAGGTGAAGCTAAATACTGAACACATCGGAGCCTCTGCTCGTTTTACTGGTATCAAGGGAAAAGTTATCATTAATATCATAAAAATTATCATTTATGCCGGGTACATTGGAGCACGCCTGTGACCCAGCACTCAGGGAGGCAGAGGCCAGCAGTTCACTGTGAGTTCGAGGCCAGCTTGGTCTACAAAGTTCCAGAACAGCTAAGGCTGCACAGAGAAACCTTGTCTCAAAAAAAAACAAAAAATAAAAAAATACAGATACAGACACCCATACCCACACACCACCCATGACCTTCCTTTGTAAAAAAAAAAAAAAATAACTTTTAGCTGAGCATGGTGGCACATGTCTTTAATCCCAGTAGAGGCAGGAGGATCTCTGCAAATCTGAGGACAGCCTGGTCTGCAGAGTGAATTCCAGGACACTCAGGACTTCATAGAGAAATCCTGCCTTGAAACCCACCCCCCACAAAATAAGTATGTATATAGAATGCGTTGCATGATGGCATACATATCTCAGACTCAGGAGAAGAGGGAGGTAGATCTGAGTTCCAGGCTAACCTGGTCTACATCTTAAGTTCCAGGTCATCTATGGCTACAGAGACCTTTCTCAAAAAGCAAACAAACAAACATACCAAACAGATAAAAATTAAAAAAAATTTTTAATTGAAACAGAATTGCCATTTTTCCCTTTATTCCCTCCCAAGAACCCCCTCAAGTTGATAATAGCATTTTTTATTATTGTTAAATACATACATGTACACATATGTATGCACAAATATATAAATACAACTACTCTGCAATGAACAACCAACCAATAAGAGAGAGGCTAAGTATCTTTCTCCTAGCAGCCATTATTTGCCTATAGTTCTTTATCCAGGGGTATAACCCCATAAAAATTTCCCACTTCCATGTTAGCATGTCCACAGATGTCATGGCCTTCCTTTTTCACTTATCAACCTTATTTTTCAAACATAATGCTGTCCTTTTAAAGTAAAACAGATAGGGGCTGGATAGATGGCTCAGAGGTTAAGAACTGTTCTTCCAAAGATTCTGAGTTCAATTCCCAGCAACCACATGGTGGCTCATAGCCATCTACTGTACAGGCACACAAGCAGGCAGAATGCTGTATAAATAATGAATAAATAAAATAAAGCAGATGAATTCTATATACAGATTTCCCCAAACCTTGTTTTTACACTTATTTATTATTCTGTATGGTGAGGAGAGTCAGAGGACAACTTGGGCGAGTTTGTTCCCTCCTTGTATCACACGGATCCCAGGAATCAAACTCAAGATTGCCAGACTCCTGTGGCAAGTACCTTTACTTGCTGAGAAATTTCAACCAGGCTATTCCCTATTCTTTCCTTTTTGAAAACAGGGTCTCATTGCATAGCTCTAGATGGCCTGGAAACTCACTACATACACAAGGAAGGCCTTGAACTCAGAGGTACTTCTGTCTCTGCCGCCAAGGGTTGGGATTAAAGGAGTGAGCTAACATACTCAACTCCAAAGTTTCCTTACCGCAGTTTTCTTTCTGCCTCACTTATTTGTGTGTGTGCAGGTATATACACATGCACACATATAGAGGCAGATGTATAGATGACCTCTATACATGTAGGTCAGAGGATGGCATATAGAGGTTGATTCTCTTAAATTCTAACATGTGGGCACAAGGTACAGAACTCAACTGGCCAGGCTTGGTGGTATAAACATCTTTACCTTAACTTTTTTGTTTGTTTTTTGAGAAAAGGTTTCTCTGTGCAGCCTTGGCTTTTCTGGACTCACTTTGTAGACTAGTCTGGTCTCAAACTCAAAAAGCTCTGCCTGCCTCTGCCTCCCCATAATGCTGGGATTACAGGCATGTGACACTGTGCCTGGCTTACGCAGCCATCTTGCTAGCTCTGTTATACAAATCTTTTTTATGTATATTAGTATTATGCCTGAAATTACGTATGTGCATCAGGTGTGTTTGGTGCTCTTGGCGGTCAGAAGAGGGCACCAGATCTCCTTGAACTAGAGTTAGGGACATTTGTGAGCTACCATGAGGGTCTGGGAATTGATCCCGGGGCCAATGCAAGAGCAGCATGTGCTCTTAACCACCTCTCCAGTCCTACTATTACATAATCTTTAATCGCCTAAAGTTAGACTTTTACAGTGATCACTGTACTACCTAGACCATTCCACCTTTTTTTTTTTTTTAAGTTTTCAGGACAGGGCTTCTCTGTGTAGCCTTGGCTGTCCTGGACTCACTTTGTAGACCAGGCTGTCCTTCAACTCACAGTAATCCACCTACCTCTGCCTCTCCAAGTGCTGGGATTACAGGGGTACGCCACCATACCCATCTTTTTTTTTTTTGATTGCTTTAACATTTAATGACTGTCCTTATCAACTAGTATTTCCTTTTTAAGTTTTATTTATTAATACTGAATATTAAATTATATTAAAACTTTTTAAGTTTTATTTATTAATACCAGGTCAGGGCCTTACGCATAAGCAAGCGCTCTACAAGTGTCCCAAGCTGGCTAATTTATGTCAACTTGATACACTCTAAAGTCATCAAAGAGAAGAATGCCTCATTTGAGAAAATTCTTTCATAAGATTTGCCTACAGGCAAGCTTCTGGGGCACTTCCTTAGCCAATGGAAAAGGAACAGTGCCCCCTGGACTGATGGTCCTGGATTCTCTAAGAAAACAGGCTTAGCCAGCCAGTAAGCAGCACCCCTCCTCGGCCTCTGCATCAGTTCCTACCTCTAAGTTCCTGTCCTGTTTGAGCTCCTGCCTTCGTTTCCTTCAATGAACTGTGAAGTTCACGCCAAAAAAACCCTTCCCTTCAGGTTGCCTTTTTTTTCTTTTTTTTAATATTTATTTATCTTATGGCGATTAGTGCTCTATCTCCGTGTACACCTGCATGCCAGAAGAGGGCATCAGATCCCTGTATAGATGGTTGTGAGCACCATGTGGTTGCTGGGAATTGAACTCAGGACCTCTAGAAAAGCAAGACAGTGCTCTTAACCTCTGAGCCATCTCTCCAGACCTCCCCTCCAAGTTGCTTTTGGTTCCCTTGTTTTACCACAGCAATAGAAATCCTATAAGATAGGTCAGACAGTCCTCATGTTCCTTCTTAACACAGGCCTTACAAGGAAATTAAAAGTAGAAAAGCAGCTCTTTGTAAACTGATGGCATGGGGGGGGGGGGGGGAAGACTGATGATAGTTTATTTGGTAAATGGCCTGCCTGTTGTTGTTTTGGTTTGGTTTTTTTTTTGTTTGTTTGTTTTTTAAGATTTATTTATGTATGTAAGTACTCTGCTTTCATGCACACCGGAAGAGGGAGTCAGATTCCACTGTAGATGGTTGTGAGCCACCATGTGATTGCTGGGAATTGAACTCTAGACCTCTGGAAAAGCAGCACAGTTTTTCTTAACCACTGAGTCATCTTGCTAGCCCCCAGCCTGACTTTTACCCAGGTAAAAGTTGGGCATGACAGCACATCTATAACCCCAGCACTGGAAAGGGTGGACACACAGGAAGACCCCTGAAATTTCCTGGCCAGCCAGCCTATTTGGAAACTTAAGAGTATTTTTAAAAATAAGGTTGAAAGCAACAGAGAAAGACACCCAGCACCAACCATGTTTTCACAAGAATGCCCACAAATGTACAATATGAACTTGTACACATACACAAAATAAACAAAAGATTTGAGGACCAGAGAAATGACTCAGTGGCCTCAAACTTGAAATCCTGATCCTCCTGCCTTTACTTCCCAAGAGCTAGAGCTAGGTTATAGATGTGCAACCAGAAGCCTGGCTCATTTTTTTTGTTTTTGTTTCTTTGTTTTGGTTTGGTTTTTTTTTTTTTTTTTTTTTTTTTTTGAGATATTATATTAGATGTAGCTGAAGCTGGCCTCAAACTTGAACAATCATCCTACCTCAGCCTTCCGGAGATCTGGGGTCACAAGAATGCACTAAAACCAGTCAGGAAACTGAAAGTTTTGTTGTTATTAATGTGTATAGACATTTGCCTGCATGTATATCTGCATACCATTTGCATGCTTATTGCCCAAGAAAGTCAAAAGGTGTCAGATATCTTGGAACTGGAGTTCCAGATGATGTGGAAGCAACATGTGAGTGCTGAGAATCAATCTGGAACCTCTGCTTTTAACAGCTGAGCCATCACTGCTACAGCCTGCCCCCATATTTAAAAAACAACACAGCAACAAAAAGGGATTGTAACTGAAATTTCACTGAGTGTAAGTCCCAAGACACTCAGGAGATAAGAGGCAGGATCAGAAAGTTCTAAGCCAGCT